ATCGGCAAATATCGCGTCAATGGCGCTATACATTGGAAACCCTACGAACGTTGTGGTGGCTCAAGCGAATGGGATTGGTTTTGCAGAGTATTCCGCTTGGATGATCATACCAACGATCGCGTGCGCCGTCTTGGCGTACGTGATGTTGAGATATGTTTTGTTAACAGGGACGAGACCATACCAAAGAATATTGAGGTGGATGCGGACTCTATACAGCCGCGAAAATCTTTAAAGGATCCTGGGGAGCGTTGTTTGGGTGTTTGTTGTTGGGATTCTGTTTGGTAGCGTTGATGGTGACGAGTGTTTTTCATGTGCCAGTTTGGATGGTGACGTTGCCGTTTGCAGGGGTTGCCATCGTGAGAGATATTTGGTATGATATGTATATTAGGAGGGGTATCAAAGATCAGAAGAGCCCGTGGAGCTTTCCGGAAATCGTGAAGAGGTGGCGCGTGAGGGCGTGAGGGAAACTCTTCCGAGATCTTATTTGGTCTGCCTGGGAGTCAGCAAGAAAGCAATGCAGAGCTTGTACCGAAAAACGGGGTTGAATTCATTGTTGCTTCGACGGACGCTATAGTCGAAGCGGAAAATGCATCGACAGATTCGTTTCCACACACTAAGGAGAGAAGCACAATTTTAACTGTTTTGGAGGATCAGCGGCCGCAATTGAATACTGCTCTTTGGAGAAAAATCCGGAATAAGTCTAGAGGTACTGCTGTTTTAAAAAAGATTATAATCTAATTATACGGCAGACGTTGCTATTCGCCTCCCGACCATTACTGAAGCGTTTGGCCGTCTTCCTTGGCCTATTCTTCCATTTTCTCTTTGCATGTTCATATTGGTCGAATCCCTCTCTTTCACCGGTTGGATATCCATTCTTGCGTCCGTACTCGCAAAACTCTCACCCTCGTTCGTTCCCTCAATTTTCTCCACCGGCATTATCACCGTCATCCTCTGTTCTCTCCTCAACAACCTCCCGGCAACCATTCTACTCACTCGAGTTCTCCTCCACCCGAACTACCTCTCAGCGATTGGAAGTTCATCAACGCCGCAATCGAATGCTGTACGCGTGGGTGCGATATACGCCCTTGTGGCTGGAAGTAATGTTGGTGCGATACTGACGATTTGTGGAAGTCTTGCGGGGATTATGTGGGAGAAGATTGTGAGGGATATGGGAGTTAAGGGATTAGAACCACTGAGGTTTTTTATTTTAAATCTGGCGTTGCAGCCTGTTCTTATTGTTGGAGCTTGTGCTGTTATTTGTGTGGAAGTTTATGTTGTGTATTTGAGAGGAATGTGACAGGATGGAGGTGTTTATGTGCTTTAAATATTTATTTAATTTATTGATGTTTTCATCATGTAACGGGGATATGCTGATGCTCTAATGCCGTTTTCTTGGTCTGACGGCGGCGAGGATACCGTTCAGAACCGAGTCCTTCACCCTTCTCGATAACATTCGCGGCGACGAGGTCCGCAATGTGGGAGAGATCAGTGAAACATTCACTCTTGAGGCAATCAAGGACAATTTAGAAAACTCAAGCCAAGTGTCACCATAGCACCCCTACTGGCTTGTCGGTTGGAAATCAACTCGCCCGCTTCCGCTCCTCGAGACTGACGGCCAAGTGACATCTTTGCTGCATCTAAATCTTCACCTCTTCTTGTGAACAACTGAAGACCCTGCGGAGCCGCCATCATCGGCCTTCAACTTGAATTCCAAAGAATATGGACATACCCCCAAATCACAACTCGGGCATGCAAAAGGTCGATCCAAGCTTGATCGCAGCGGCGCTAAATATTAAAAAAAAAAGAAGGTTGCTACGGCATGGTTAGTAATTTAAGGGGAACTTACCTATTCACACTTTTGTGCGACACATGTTATCGATTGCGTCGGAAATGCGATTCGGGGACTCCGATATGCAGCCCTTGTACTCGAACAAGGAGCGCATGCACTTACATCCGTCGGTTTGTCTCGCCATCTTTGATACAAAGAAAAAACCGAAAAGAAGGAGGAACATATGCTGAGCAATTGGAGCAACGCTTGGCATCGATGGAGACTATGTATGTCCTTGAGTTCACGTTCTGGTAAATGCTTGATGATAATTCTGCCTGCAGTGTTCGGTCTCTGTTGACGGATATCTCAAAAGGCCCAGACGCCCAGCGGCTCAGCAACCTCACAACAAAAATCTCAATCTTCCTCACATCCCCGTCAGCCGCCTCGGCATCAACCGCGTCTCTATCATCCACATCTGGCGGAATCAACTTTGAAGACTCGGCCGTGTCTTTACCTATACCGTTTGAATTTGAAGAGTGCATCCTGAATTCAGCTTTCCCGTCCTATCAATCCAACAACAACCTCCATCAGTCCCCGCCCATTCGCGCCTCAAGTCTTGTAGATTTAATGGAGGCCGCTTTTGATCATAAGAACCTGTTTCGTAAGACTGATTTGGATGAGGTAACTATTCCAGGGAGCCCGGAATCTGTTGACGAAACTCCCTCGCCAAATTTCGACATGAATGAAGAGGAGCAAACAAGACTATTACAGGTCAGTGCTAATTCTTTTTAATCTTTTTTTTACTAAAATGGATAAATCCTCTGTAGATATTTTTTGACAGAGTAAACTCTGGTCTTCCCATGCAATTTGTGCACGAGCAAGTTTTCCGCTATGACCTCTCTCGCAGTATTGATCCGTGTCCTGCTCTTGTGTTAGCCATGTGCGCCATGGCCAGTGCTTGTGGACCAGTATTTGTGTTTGATGGTTCATTCTGGCCTTTTGTGGGGTACGAACCAAAACTCAGTTCCTAATTCACTCGAAACGTCATCGAGATCAGAGCAGATATTTCAAGCGGCTCTTGCGGCATTGGATTTTGATAGGCCGTCAGTAAAAATGTGCCAGGCTTTGCTATTGATGGCCATGTTCTGCATATTTCTTTCGAATGGAAGATTGAGCCAAGGATGGCTTCTTGGAGGAATGGCAATTAGAATGGTGTGATATTACGATCCCTATTTCTCCTGACATAACGCAACTAACGTAGATTTTGTAAGGTTCCTGCCCTTCAACTTGACGTGGATCCGGACACGCTAGAGGAAACGTCGAACCAAAGATTCACATGGGTGCAGAAGGAGGTTCGGAGGAGACTTTTCGTCATGATGTGGGTGTTTTCTTCTCTCACATTCAATCTATACTCTTTGTTGTTCCTAACCGCTTACAATATAGTGTTGGTATCGATATCTTTGACGTTGCATATCGAGAACGTTGCTCAGGCCTTTGGCGACAACTTTCAAATGTCAAGCTACCTGAACCCTTCGAGCTTTGGTCCAATGTTGATGTATTGACTGGAAACTTAACGGTGGTTGACACGCCTGAAAGAGAACTCGGCCTCCCATACATTCTATTCTCCCTCATCAAACTGGTTGCTCGAACCGTGGATTATACCCTTTCAAAGGGGAACCCCTTCACTGGCGGAGCGAGTCTCAAGGACATTTTATCGCGAGGATCTCCAGAGTCACTATCTACAGAGTGGATGCAAGACGTTGAGTTTGTGGTTATCGATCAAGATATTCGAGCCTTTATGTCTTCGCTTCCAGCAAGGATACGCTCTTTAGATCAGATTGAGCAGTTCTCGTTGGGTCGATTGGATCATTCGAATATGGACGTGCCATCGTATCTGCTTGTGAAGTTGCATCTTTACGTTCACAGCACTACCCTCAAATTACACCGGAAGCGCATGATCCAGGCTATTGCCGTGATGACACAGTACCAACGAGTGATGAGCTTAGGTGGAAACCCATTCTCAGTTCAAGGAAGCGACCTCTCATTTCTTCTAGCTTGTATGGAATCCATCCGGACATGCTCCAACGCCGCATCCAAGCTCGTGCATATCATCGGCAAAGACGTCGACTTGATATCCCCAGTTCCCTTGAACCCACCCGGAAAGCGACCTGCAGCACTTTTATTTGGTGTGGGAGAATGCAAGGCCATCATGGAAGCCGCTATTCACTACCTGATTGTCGCAGCTACTTTAAGGGCTTCATCGATTATAGGTGTGAATGCAGGCATTTTTCATATACCAACGGAGAATCCGCAGCTGGTTAAGGCTTTTGGGTGTGATTTGAGGCGGCTAGACAGTCGCTTTCGACTTTGGCGGGAGTGTTGTCGCATGTTGCTAAAAGGTGGGAGGTTGTAAAGTCTATGGGGCTATGCTCTCGCGACTCATGAACGAGGTTGGGCTTATTGATGTGGTTTCAATAACGTTGTGATGTCTTTGCGTCGTTTTTCTGTATAATATAAATTCTACCGCATGATTGATTATCATGACTCTCGTCTATTTTTTTACTGAGGAGTTCGTATTCGGAAAGTTGAGTAAGGACAGCTGTAATTTATTTCTTCCATACATAGTTTATCTGTTTATATAAAACAAGATACGAGGTAATTGTTCAAAAGAGGAATGACTGATAAATACCAAAACACCTATGTTCAACAAGTAGGGTACAGTGATCTTGGGGAGAAGGGTAACCGTGAGCTCACTTTCGACATTGAGATTGAGGTCCGTGACCATTTAAAACGTTTTTGACGTGATGGCTCCATTTGGCAGCGAGTTTCGTGGCTTTCAGATTAGGGTGGGTGGCCTGATGCGGTACTTCCATTTAGCTTCATCTGTATCATGGATGTTTTCACGGTTTCATGTACAATGTATTTATTGTTTACTTCTGTTTTGTCACATACATTTATCGTAACTTGTCCTACCTATTTACGACCATTTTCATCCAATCAAAATCGTCAATTTTGCCTATAATTGTTATCGTATATATACGACAACAAATTTCTTTCAGATATCAAACAGGGCAGATGGCCGAGTTGGTCTAAGGCGTCACGTTAAGGCCGTGATCTCTCCGGAGGCGTGGGTTCGAATCCCACTCTGCTCACTCCTCATCCGAAATAGTCTAGTGGTTATGATCCCGCTCTCTCACAGCGGTGGCCGGGGTTCAATTCCCCGTTTCGGAAAGCCCGTGTAGTTCAGTGGCAGAATATTTCCCTCCTAAGGAAGAGGTCTTGGGTTCGATCCCCAACTCGGGTATTCTCCTTTTTTCGCCTTTTTCTTTTTTTCCAGTGACCTTTTCACATTTTTTCTAGCTACCCATTCATTCAGTGTAAGTGTAAATCATGTGAGGCTAACAATGATAGCTGCTTTGGCGTCAATAATGCTTGTATCAAACGGAGAGAATATGGATTCTTGCGTACTTTTGACACAAATGCGGGCCTTATCATGTTTAATTATAGGCGCACCGTGGTGTCAGTGCGGAAGCAGACGCGGAGGTCGATGCAGGGGCACGTATCTCTGAAATACTTGTGCTGTGAACGGGCTTCTGACACCATACCTAATCAGTCCGTACTCCATTTAGATAAAAGTAAATATATACATTTCGTCTCTTTCACTGCAACAAACATTACTTCTGCAAGTGCACAAATTTTAAAAGTGCTTGACGATTTTTAGTCCCAATTGACCTTTGACAGTCATAATTGCAATGGTTAAAATCCACATGGCTAGGCGCGTGAAGTGACGGAATAACCATTATTGAGGACTGGCTGATGCAGATTTGGTATGTACATCGAAAAGTCATGAAGGTGAAATTCAAATGTCAGATCTCCAACACTATAAGGTACACTCTCACCTGAAAAGGTGTGGCGGTAAGGGCAGATTTTTGAAGGGATGCGTGGATACATTAGGAGGAACGTACGATCTTTTTTTCAAAATTGCCTGAAAAGGTGTGGCCGTAAGGGCAGATTTTTAAAGGGATGCGTGGATACATTCGGAGGAACGTACGCTGTTTTTTTTCTGAAAAAAGAAGAGTGCCGTCATATTTTTTTATAATAAACGTGATGCGCCGTTGCTTTGGCAGTTGTGAAGACGATTCGATACGTTACCTTTGAACAAGATTTTTCGCAGTGAAAATGCATGTTTTGTGAATATGTATTATAATATTACGTATCAAAACATCAGAATCGTTAGCAACATTCTAACTTGATTGAAGAAAAAACTGCACTAAGACAGTATCTTAATTATTATTCATTTCTTAAATCGCCTTCAATTTGGTTGCATTCCAAATAATATTTATATTTCGATTTGGTGGAAATCTTCTGATATCGTCTTTAGATGGGCTGTTTAGTTTAGGCTGTTTAAAAGCTTAGGTTTATATTAGAAACTTACCACATAGTTCAATTTCACAAAAGCGAGATTCTGTAAATGCGTGTCTTTGATGATTACGGTAACGTCTGTAAGTTTTTTTTTTTACTTCAAAATGTTAAAAATGTCGACAAAGTAAACATGGAAGAAAGCAAACGAAGGAAAGGGATTCACTCACAACATGTAAAAGCCTCAAAGATAATCCTCCACAAAATCAATGATGACTTCAGTCTCAGCATGGACGGCGTTACGAAACGACGCCCAAGACGAGCGATTCAGGAAAAGACACTTGACGATCGTTCAAGAAAGTAGAGAAGTTACGATCACCGAGAAATCGGAAAGTGAGGGATGAGATGGTTTAAAAAAGCAATTAGCTTCGGAAAGCAAAAAATACGATAACACGTAGTTTTGAAAGAAGTCCCCTACATATATTCTGTGCCAAATCAAACTCCAAAATCATAACTATAACATCGATAAACACACATGCAATAGCCTCTTTATCTTGCTCACAAGGCTCCTTCTCCACATTTTCCTTCTCACCCTCACCCGTCTTTAGCACCTCATCTTCACCCATGCAAGCCTTGAACCGTCTCCGAATATGTCTCCAAAACCCATACTCGGGACTCCCCTATTCATCCCAGAGTGCCGCAAACGACGCAGATCCATGACGTGCGAGAATGTGCGTAACAACGTTACGTGCGTCAAGGGCGATTTGAAGGGTCATGAATTTGGTTAGTTCGTTGAATAGGGGACGGAAGGCGCGGTTTGTGTCGGTGCTGGAGAAGATGAGGCTGGGGTGATCGGAGAGGATAGCTTACGATGTTTAGACGTTGATACTGGATGTAAGGTTGTTGAGGACAAAAAGAAAAGTTTAATTGAAAATTAAAAAAGGCAAAAAGCGACAACGGCAGGGTTCGAACCTGCGCTCCCGAAGGAATTTGATTTCAAGTCAAACGCCTTAACCACTCGGCCACGTTGTCAGAGATATGATATAACATAGCACTTCCAGGTTTCGATCCTGGGACCTCGGAGTTATGAGCCCCGCGCTCTTCCCCTGAGCTAAAGTGCTTGATGATAGGTCCCAGCGAGAATCGAACTCGCGTTGCCAGAATCAGAATCTGAAGTGCTGCCCCTACACCATGGAACCTGGAAATTTCCGAAACGGGGAATTGAACCCCGGCCACCGCTGTGAGAGAGCGGGATCATAACCACTAGACTATTTCGGATGAGGAGTGAGCAGAGTGGGATTCGAACCCACGCCTCCGGAGAGATCACGGCCTTAACGTGACGCCTTAGACCAACTCGGCCATCTGCCCTGTTTCATATGGAAATCGTCATTATGGACGTATAAGAACGAAGGCTTACGTAAAAGAAATTGAAGATACTGATTGGATGGAAAATGTTGACAAGCTCTTGTGAAGCGGAACTTGAAAAAACTGTGGACCCTTCAGCGATAACCCGAGACAAGTCTGGTCCAAGAGGCAGATGTGAACAGACGTGGGCCAACAGAATGAGGCCCAGTTCTGGTGATGGATTGGACGACGTGTCATGCATGGATGATTAAAACAAGAAAGTGCACTTTTAAAAAACAATTTGTACACTTCTTATGTATGTAGGTACCCTATTTGTGCACTTCTTATGTATGTAGATACCGTATCAAATGAAGTCACAAAGTACAAACAATTAAAGCACGGGCTGATGATATTGAGGGAAGGGTATCAAGTATTGTGGGTGAGAGAGGGTATATTATCCATTTGAGGCATAAAGAGGGTTGAGTTGGTATCTGATGAATTAAAAGGTACAAATCTGATTGTTACAAGGTATCCACTCTGCAGTTTAATTAATGAATTAATGGAATACACTAGAAGGCACACTTTTGTGATGATTCATTTCATTCCATTCCATTCAATTAACATAATTAATTAATTAGTACATACACACATACCCTGACAATTCCTTCTTATTTATTTATTATTGAATTGAAATTATTGGGATACCTCACCAATGAGAAGTTGTCACAACTCACAATAAATAAATAATCAATTAATGAATGAATATGTAATACAACTGTCAATTGAATTGGTTGATCAAAGTTGTCGGTGTTTGAATCAGAGTAACACTTGCTTGACTGTGCCAAATATTTATTTTATTTATTTATTTTATTATTTATTAACTTTGCCTATAAAAAGGGGCCATCACCTCGTTTGGATCACGACTCCTTCTTACATACATGGACGTTCGCACCTACTCCTTTATCGGCTCTGAGATTGATGCTATGCTCAATTTCACGTTTACTGACGACGACAACGACGACGACGACTTTCTCTTAAAATACCATCAGCAACACTTTACCACAAAATCGCGCTCTGTGCCTCGGAACCTTACCAACACCTCCAAAACCCAGGTGGAGCCCACTACCTTCAACGCCGCTTACTCCTTCCCCTCACCCGAAAGCACCCCAAACCTTTGCTGCTTTCCCTTAAAGTCGCCCATGATCAGTGGGATGGGCGGTGACTTTGACATTTGGGCGACGACGATGACGATGACCTTGCTCACCTCCGCCCTTTTTCAACCCCTCTCATTGCTCCTGCCACCCAACTTGAAAGGCCCATGACCTCAGCAGCAGCACCCGGCCCCATCCGCAACCACCTATGACGCCATCTCAGAACTCCTCCACTTCAACACTCATTCCGAGCAAGACTCAAGAGCCAGCATGTTCTTTGACGACATTGCACCTCCACCCCAAAATGCATCCTTCCAGCAGCACATCTCTATCCCTCAGTCCCTCTACCAAAACCTTCGTGTTGCAGCAGCAGTAGCTGAAGCCTCGGCTTCTGATCATGCCTCGCTTGAACCAAAAGTCGAAATGAACCTCTCGGAATTTCAACTCCTCTCTGCCATTGCCTGCATGAGCCGACCATTACCCATCTCCACCACCACCACCTCTACCACCGCAGCAGCACCACCCACAGTCGTCCCCTCCACCACCTCTCTACCCACCCTCAACATCACTCTTCCAACTCCTTCAACACCCACCTCCTCCAATCCTCCCACCTCCAAAAGACCTCGCGTCTCCACCGTCTCTGACACCTCAACTCCACCTTCCAACCACTCCACGTCGTACCCGCAAATCCACCTCCCCACCCGCCTCTCCCCACTCTCCTCCCTGCAGCAATCTCTCCGAAACTGATTGGACCCGCACCATGGCCGACGCCGCATCATAGATGTTGACCTCCCCAACGGTGAAGGGCGCGTCTACAAATGTCCATTCGACGGTTGCGACCTTTCTGCAAAGAGACGGTTCAACGTGCAGACGCATTTGAGGACACACATGCCTGAACGGGCTAGAAGCATGTGTGTGATGAATGTGGGAGAGGTACTTGAGACCCTATGAGCTGGAGAGACACTGCAAAAGAAAAGACATGGCTGCAAGCAGGAATGAATTTGTGGATGTTTTTTGGCTTATCTGCATGTAATTATTAGTAAAAAGGCTTGCCCATCAAATAAATATACGCGGCAATTGTTATTTTCAAAACCTTCAACAACAGAGGCGCGGTGAGACATGAATATAAGCGGCGCGTAATGATCCTACTTTTTTGTGATCCTGTAGGATACTAACCAGCATCCATTTGGCAATTTTTACGGGGACGGCCCTTCATATTCAATTTTATCGACACGTTCCGCTTGTGTGTGGAGCAAAAGCTGTTGCGTTGACACTGTGTTTTAGCACAGGATCATACGTTTTTTTAAACCGCAGTCTTGTGTGTTGTTAAAACATGTTTTCTATAAGCTGGACAGGCTTACCCCGCTATAACGCTCCCATTCACGCTCTTAAATCATGAATAAAAGTAAATCCTTTCTGACCGGCTGATATCTGTCCCAACGCATTCATTTCGATGAACCCCCCAAAAAAGCTACACCATGAAATCCAGTCATTGTGGCTTGTGCTAAGGAAAGATTCCCCGACAATCTCCACCTTCCTTTGACTCCAATTGATCTTGATTCTTTTCCCCAACTTCAAGCATCATCCACAGGCTCACGGGAATTGTTCCCGTAACATGCCGCTTCCATCCTGGGGAAGAGTTTGGTCTTCCTTACTAGCAAGTGCGCCTCCCATCGCCATACATACATCCTTGCTTTCAACCATCGCCGCCCTCCTCATTCTCGGCCTCAAGGGCATCTTTCTATTAACATGTCTTCATCCAACCCTCCGTATCCCACATAAAGAAGATGCTCAAGTGTTTGGCATTCTAGTGTTCTCCTACTTTAGGTGAGCCAAGAAGCCTTAAAGCCCTCTTTCTTATTTCCGAGTGCAGAGGACTTGTCCAAGTGTTTTCGCAAAAACCCGACTTGTGTTGACACCTGCTGTGGATTACGCACTTTTGCAATTGTTAAAGTATGGGATGCTTGTCGCAACTTGGATGTTGAACCCGGATCTCAATATCGTGATCTTTTCGACACAGATCTTTATACCCGTGTATCTCGTGTTCAGCGCCGCCTTTGTTTCCCTGTTAATCTGGATCCCGTCGAACGCCGTGAAGGTCAACATTGTTAAATGCTTGAAAGGAGTGTTGGAGTATTTCGTAATGGTTGGATTGACATGGTAAGAGGATGTATGGAGTATTGTTTAACGCAAAACAAGGATCCTCTCCATTGTTTTCATCCTGTTCTCCAATGTTCAGCATCGAAAACATGCAATCAACCATGAAAACGCTATGGATTACGTGTCGTCTTGTTTTCTGCTAGGTGTAGGGTGTGTTGGACCTTTAACAAACATCTTCTAACTTTTACAGGTTTCCTATCCTTACTTACGGGATGCAGCTATTAAATAGAAAAATATACAACGTGTGGAAACCACCAATAGCAACAACTCGAAAGGAAGAAATGGAGTCTCATGTATCTAAGCTAAATTTCGGAACTTGGTAATTGAAGACCCTTTTCCTTAAGCTCTAACCATAAACTTCTACAGCTTTGATTTAGTCTGGAGAACAGTGAGCGAGCTAATTATACTCCGTACTTCAAACGAAAATGTTTACTATGGATCAACTATCGCCGCTATCCTTTGTAGACTGTTAGTGCGGACACTATCATCACACAAATTTAAAAGTGAACATCGTTCCAAATGGCAAGTCGAAGCTGAGGAAACAACTCCCGCCGAATCAATACAAGAGAATGACCGCGTAAGACCTTCAACTTCCAGAACGGCAATATCGAAAATTCGTTCAACCATATCACGAAATCGTTCGGGTAAAAAAAAAAAGCATGACCGAATCCACATTAACATAAATTTTTAGAAGGAACATTAAAATCACTCCCAAAATTAAACGAAAGCCCATTAAAAAGACTTGAAACCATTTTATCAAGTAGAATGATCCTACTCCAAACATCCGGAGGTGTCATGGATCCAGAGGCGCTATCCATCACTTCAATCGAAGAGTATACCTCAAACCTCGTTGACTCCAAACCTCCCCAAGATCTACCAGAATCACCCTTTATTCCATTAAATCCTGGGACGTTTTACGGATACATTCGTCTCGGCAGCATCATCAGTGACTGGTCATCTCGCTGCATCGCGTTTTACACCCTTCTTCTCTTAGTCTCCATGCCGGAACTCGCGTCATGGTCCGTTGATTTCGGGAGAGTCGGAATCGGGAATCTCATCATTCGCTTCTTTATCACAAATGCGGTATGCGTCATGTTTGAAATCGTCTCCATGTGGATGGAGATGTTCATTTGGATTTTAATTACGTGGATAGTGTGATGGAATTTTGGATGAGCGGGTTGACGTTGAATTCTTATGTGTTTATTGTCCTGGCGACAATGAGTATCATTGGATCTTTTTTTGTCGCCGAGACAGGATTGATGTACGGAAATGACATGTATTTAGAAGGTCGAAAAAATAAACGGGGGCAGTTTTTTGCTCAATCTACGTACATATGAAACAGTGCATGTTAAAATAACGGAAACTCACAAGTTTCTATCAAAAATCTATATCATAAAGATTTATTGTATTTTTCGTTTCTGCATCCTAATTTTATAGGAAATCACTTTGTCCCCGCATTGAACCCCGTGAACTTTTCAAAGCCTATACCACATTCCAATCCTTTGCTTGCTTCATTAATGTCCTTTTGTGATGTTTAAATGTCT